CTCTGCTGCAGTTTGTGCCCATAGCCCCTTGTCCTGTCGCTGGGCACCACTGAAAAGAGCTTGGCACTGAAAAGAGTTGTGCACATGCAGATACTACTCGGTTTGATCTGTAATGAAAGGAGATCACGCAAACCTGTTTTTCACAGGTTAAGAACATGCACACAGTTACTATGGCTCAGCTGGCAGTGAGAAAGTTTATCATGACTCTGAACACTTATTTTTACTGCTCAAGTTTATTTTCATTATGTTTCAGTTTCTGTTCTAGCACGATAAAAAATATTTCAAGAAACACAAATTCAGCCTATTTTACCATCTCATCTTTGTTCAAGCATAAATAACAAGCAACTGAAATCATGTGATGGATCCAGCCTTACTGCTCTCTGAACTCCCAGATTTCAATACGAAAACAGTATGGGTAAGTAGGCCTTCACGTCAAACCAAGAATCACAGAATCACAGAATAGTAGGGGTTGGAAGGGACCTCTGTGGGTCATCTAGTCCAACCCTCATGCCGAAGCAGGGTCACCTACAGCAAGCTAGTTTGCATTTGCCTGCTGTCCTTCCATTGAGTTGCCCTATCAGCACAGGAGGTGGAAGGTTTCAGTACACTCGTTATAAGTTCTTCAACAGAGACTGGACAGAAACAATGGAGAGAAACGAGATTCAAAATGACAGAATAAGTGTCCAGCGGAGGGCTACAAGGATGGTGAGGGGACTGGAGCATCTCTCCTGCGAGGAGAGGCTGAGGGAGCTGGGCTTGTTCAGCCTGAAGAAGAGAAGGCTGCGAGGGGACCTAATATATACTTACAAATATCTGAAGGGTGGGTGTCAGGAGGATGGGGCCAAGCTCTTTTCAGTGGTGCCCAGTGACAGGACAAGGGGCAATGGGCAAAAACTGAAGCAGAGGAAGTTCCGTCTGCACAGGAGGAAGAACTTGTTCCCTCTGAGGGTGACGGAGCCCTGGCCCAGGCTGCCCAGGGAGGTTGTGGAGTCTCCTTCTCTGAAGATGTTCAAGCCCCGCCTGGACAAGGTCCT